GCCATCCTATGGTAATAATACAAATAAATCGAAATTCATTTACTGACGATAGCAAAATAAAATCTATATTTGTAGGTTGTTACCTTTGCCCCAACTTTTCTTTTCCCAAGCTTCATTATACGGATGAGGTTTTACCTTGTATTTCTCTTTTGAGGTATTTTGTCCTATTGGTTTTTTGAAAAATATAACATGTCTAATAAATAGTAATTATAAAATAATTCTTCTTTAGCTAGCTGATCAGGTAATATACACCACTAAAATTACAACACGTTTAACCTTTCTTTGAGACGTACACTTAATAAAATTTTTCACTAGCACTGGGCTGCACGTGAAAAAAAAAGCAAATAGAAATATGTTAACAAAGCGTGCCATACTGTCTTTCTTGGAATTATTCTTCAGTGCTTGCAAAACATAGCCGTAGATAACAATTGTATACTAAGATATCAATACATGTGTATATACACAGGTATGTATAAAAATCTGTTTTAATTTTTGGCGATATTCATGGCGATTTTAGAGACACCTATTGGTGACTTTTGGCAATTTGAGCACCACCAGTGGCAACATCAGACTCGACTGATCTGGCAACTCTATACTAGCCAGTACGCTTCCACCTTTCAGGCTGGTAAAGCGTTACTCGTTGCTCCTCTGCGCTCGTGCCACTCTAAGTGTTAAGTAATATCAAAGATAATTTATTCTAATCAAGCTAATGGCTCACATTAATGTTCAATTTGTGTACATGAATATTGGTTCGTTATTAAAGCTGATAAAAAGTTATATAAGGAGAGCTTGTAACTTAAGTTAATAATTATTCCAAAGTGTATGTCCCAGTTGTTGCTGTGTCCGATTGCGACTTCAACTTCCCGCTTTGCTCTCTGTGGTCCCGGCGAGCTACTTCGCGAGCTCATCAATTTTATAGACAATTATTTAACAGAATAAGTATTAAAAATATAATTATTTCTACGTATGGAAAAAAAATTCTTATAACACAAAAAAAAGAAATCTGCCGACAGTTGGAATCGATCGTTAGATGGCAAAACAATGCAAGCAGAGACATAAACTTTAACCATCTTAGCTATCGGAACTTCGGATAAGAGAGATTTTTAAGTTGCATATGTTGATTGATAACCTCCGGAGCTTGTCCTACAGTTTATAACAATTATAATGAGAAAAAATAATAAATTAGTGGTTATAGTGGTTATAGCTGAACTGCCATCTTGAAAAGAGTAGCTGAATATTTTTCAAAATAATACTGGATTTGAAAATAAGTATTAACGTATGGGAAAAATGAAAAAGAAATGTTTTGAAATCAAGTTCTGTGCTTATAATTATTAGCATTTAGTCCCCCAATTTAATTGAATAAGATTGATAGATAATATTGAAGCAAGAGCGAGAGAGCAAAGGTCAGTTAAATATATATAGCACTAGAGGCCCCCGTCTCGGCTTCGCCCGAGATTTACTAAATGAAACACCGTAGTGTGTTGACATGTAATGTGAAACGTTTTCAGTTAGAAATTTTACATATATTCCTGACACTTCTCAGAATAAAAATCTTCTGATTAAAAACGTATTTTTTCGGAATCCATATAGTTTATTTGGTCAAATAATAAGCTGTGAAAATTAAAAAAAATATAATTATGCTGAAAAGTACTGTGCGTTCTTTATGCCGTAAAATAATCGTTAGCCATAAGAAGCCGTTGATTTGCAGTTTATCCCGTATAATTTACAATAAAGGCTATTTTTTAAAGCTGTTAAGATTTTAAACTCCCAAAAAATGTATATTAAAAAAAAAAATTTTTTTCTCTTGTCTCACAACTTTATTACCAGAGCAACAAAGTCCTGAACCTTAAACTCTACATTTTTTATTGCCAGAAAAATACAAACACATTTTCTACTTATTTAAAAATCTGAGATAAGATCTTTGAAGATTTCAGAGATTGCTGTGAGGGTAAAATGAAAAACTGATCTCTCACTTAATGGATTCTTTATTTATCGATTTTGCCGCTGCTGTTCTGATCTCGATAAATTTTCTACGTCAGTTTCTTAACGCCTAAAATTGTATTTTTTAGATACATTTGAAGTTTTTCTTCCAATTCATCCTCTTGCGACTTTTGGCATGCTTAAAACTTTTTTGACCCCTAAAGGCTGTTTTCTGTCAACTTTGTTAAGTTCTAATATATTTGTTGGCAAGGTAGTTCGACGTCCAATGGCCCTAAAAAAGACAGGTGATCTTATTAAGTAAACTCATTCTTGACTTCAGTTAATAGCAATTGTGACTGCCTGGATACCTCAGGATGATCTTCTCTGGCCTGCTGTTGAAGCCCTAGACTGATCGGGAGAAAAATTACAAAGTCCGAAGCTTTGGGGCTAGTTGTAAAGATCTTTCCCAACGTCTCCTGGTATAACATTAAAGACGTTGGTGTCTAAAGCACCTTTTTTATTTGCAGATTCAATTGTTTTGGTGATCTTAGATGGGGAGATTGCGGTTATTGATACTTGCCCAGTGGAGACTGTCCCGTTGGCTCAAATTTTTTTTCCTTCATAGCTGTTATAGGTTTGCCCAGCGCAGACCTTGAAGAGGATCGGTGATTTCTAGTTGAATGCTTAGAGTTGAGAGGGTAATATAGGGTCGTCAGTCTCTGGGGTTCCCAGTCTTGCGAAGAACAACTCCGCTCGTGACGACTGTCAGTGAATGGCTGACTTGGTATAATAGTGGCCGTCTTTAGTCAATACAGTCTTTTAGTCGACAAATCGCTTCCCGAAATGGTAGTAAAAATGTATTTGTTGGCAAGATAGCATACACTTAGGTGGCTCTTAAAAGAACCGATGAGATGGATGGTTAAGTAGGGAACGTAAATACTTATAATGGCCCTAAAAAGCGTCAGTGGCGAAACTTCCAGCTATTCCTTATTATGACTCTGACCCTTGAAGTCTCTATGTACGGAGACTGTAATGGAGGGAGGTTCGCCGCTGACCAAAAAATATCTCGTCTTCGGGTCGTTCCCCGGATATTCAACCGCTCACCGTCAGACGGGAACACGTGGGTATGCGCGTTGGGGACACGACCACTGCGAAGGAAGCTGTTGTAGCTGCCCGTGCCCCTCAGAGCTGTCTTCCCTGGCTCACATTTGTAGCCAAAAATTCTCTGACTGCACCAGTGAGACGGCCACATAACTCTAAAGAGTTGGAGCAGGCTGTGCTAGATACGTTTTCAGGTATTGCGCTGGAGAAGTCATAGGTTAGAGTAATTATTTATTGGTGGCACTCGTCAATCGTGGCGATTCAGGGTGAAAGGAGACCTAAGTCCCTTCCCCCTTAGAGAAGAGTGTCGTCCGTAACCGGGATATCCAGTTGCACGACTTTCATACTCATTCTCTATGCAGCTCGATGAACTGCCGCAGGACGACTGCAGTATTGTTGGAGATGCTCTGGCGTATTATAACCACACTTATTTAATTCGGTTGCAGGTAGCCTTGATTTTATGTCGACGCCACTTAGCGGATCCTACTGAACTAAAGTGAAAAACTGGCGTATTTTTACAAAACTTTGAGCCCATTTATGGTTATTGTTATTAAATTTTTCGAGATAAAAACTATACCAAAACCATCTAGGAAGTGTCATGAATCAGTGTGCAAAATTTCAGAAAAATCGGTTCAGTAGTTTTTGCGGTTAGCGATTACAACGGTTTTAACGACTTTGCTTAATATATTAGTAAGATATACTCGGTTGCAGTCAAAAGAGAAAAACTAGTATCTTCACTTGCTTAGGTTGTGCACTCGGTTCAGTCTACTAGGTCGTGGAGTGGCACGCGGGAGACTGTGGTTCGATTCCCGGCCAGTGCGACTTTTCGGGCAAGTAATTCTGTGATTTTTCTCATGTGCTTTTTCACCACGCAATGCTCCTCGAGGAGGGTTTTAGGCGACCTTCTCACAGCAAAATTGCCTAATTTCCCCCTACCCCCCTCCCAGTAATGAGAGGCCTCCCATCCCTCTTCTCTTTCTTCTCCCAAGTGCTAAGTGCCCATAGTAGAGCCCTTATCAAAGGAGCCGGACGTAGAGCACTATAATACAAAAAAAAGCTATATAGCAATAGTCGACATTTCCGCTTCTCTCCTCATATCATTCGATATACCCCTTCTACGGGTCTCCAAAATGTGCGCCCATATGCTCATTTCCACGCGAATCCACTCCTCTTCTCGTGAGCGCACGCTCTTCGATACGAGTTTCGCACTCTCGAAAATTGTGCGCCCAGTTCGACGGCTGGCCATGGCGGGTCGCCCCGATCAGTGCCAAAAAGTCGTCTCACATCATAGCATTGGTGTTAGCAATCTCTTTACTCATCTCTAGTCTAGACTATGCTCGGACTTCAATCCCTCTGCGCCTGTTCTGCTAAGCAGACGTTGTACTTAACCAGTAACTCAATAAAGACCAATTAACCTTATACTAAAGTCTCTCGTTACTTTCCAGTATCAAGATCCCCATATCCGAGAACGATCCTCCATACCAAAAAGTCGTCTCGCATCGTAGTACTGGCGTTAGCAATCTCTCTATTCATCTCTGACGAAACACGATGGACCTGAGTGACGGTCCAATGTTTTACCCACAGTCGCACTCGCATGACATTCCCCTAATCAGCTATATAAATCGCGGGAGTCACATGATCTTTTATAGTATAAACCAACGATACAAATCTAACGTATCATCTTTTTATTGCTTTATTTTATCAAGCATGCGTGCCAACGAGCTCTAGTCAATATTTAATTTCGTATATCACCCCAAACGTTTTTTATTAATAAAATAAAATATATTGAACGCACAATTCTAATATAACAAGATGGGGAATGTGCAGGCAAAGCACTAACTATGGTAAATATCGTTTATTTTATTACACGTAATCGAGTAGAGAGACAGCCTTTTTTCAATATAAAATAAAGTTCCATATATATTGTTTTTAGTCTTTAACATTTTTGATTTATTGTAACAGTTTGCTATAAGATAAAATTATTTGGTTAACTTAAGACTCTCGAAGACTTTGTTGCACCTCAGTTGCATACATATTTCCAATATAAATGAAGCTATATTGGCATTCTTGTCTTTTTGTTTACTGCAGATTTCATATGCTACAATCAATGTCATTTGTGGATCTATGTTGTACATAGCATGTAACCACATATCCTGTAATAATAAATGATTTGATACATAAAAATGGTCAATGAGAGATTTATGGAAAAAATTAAAACCTCAGATTGTTAGCATTTAAACTAACACATTAGTAACAAAATACATTCTAAGAAATGATATAGTTCCTATATCAATCCGTCCACGATTTTTCAGTACATCTTGCTCAGAAAACAATTTTTTTTTATGCAGTGAAGTCATAGAGATATAAGAATAAAGCACTTCAGTTTTGGTGGTGGCAGAGCTAGTAAAAAGAAGGCTTGTCTAGCAGTCATGCTGTTCATCCAGCAACCCTTTGACCATGAGCCAATGACGTGGCTCTACTGGACCAGCTGGACGAACATAGACTGCGGCACGAGTACGAATTCTGGGCCCCCCGGATTTGAAGGTGTCTTTAGGGGTAATCAAGGTCACTGATTACAGGAAAAAAAGTAAAAAAAAATTCTTACCTCACTTATTTCGAGATATTGAACTCGGAAGTCAAAAAAATTACTATAAATGTTCATACAATATTAGGATCATTTCAAGCTTATTAGATAATAATAAATAAGAAAAAAATAATGAAAAGTCCATACTTACTTCTTTTTGAGAAATTGCATCTTGAAATTCAAAAATTAAGTTGTAATATTTTTAATTTTCATACGAAAATACTAAATAAAGTAATATTTTTGACTGACTTGAAAATGATAAAATTGTATTTTATTTTATTATCGTTTCCCGACACATTGACACAGATCAAAGTGTATTATGTATTCTTATCAGCTTGTCTTCTGATATGCTCTTCATGTAAGGGTTATTGGTTATTTCGTTGTAAAATGCTAAAATTGCGTAAAAATCAGCTAAAAATACTTTTCGAAAAGTAAACACAAAACAAATGGATGTCAAGTTTTTAAATATCTCTTTTTTTAAATTTTCAAATGTTGGCACTTTTTGCGCACGCAGCGCCACTACTGGTCGTAGAAGTTGGCACGAAGCTTACATCTTTTTAAATTTTTTAAAATTGCCAAGCAATAGTATACGTACATTAGTGTTATTGTTTAGTGTTAAACGATACAATGAGTGCGACACATCTAAATATTTATCCAAGTTTAGTTAACTTCTCTATCTTTCATTCCTTTAAAAAGTTTGTGAAAACAACCAACGTTAGCCGTGTTTTTTTGGAGGAAATCAGCTCAAGTCCATCTAGAAAGTCATTTCTACCGTCGTGTTGCGAGTTAACAATGACGGTTTATTCAAGGAAACTTTTTTGATGGAAATCAGTGTCACATCTACATTAATGAAGTACTTGCCATCATCCTAGCTTTTGTCACTAAAACACGGTAAACGACTGCTTTACGGTATTTATTACTTATATCTTGGCGATAAAGTGAGAATAAAGAGACGCCGAACAAATTGATAATTTTAAACTACTACAGATACTGCCGCGAAATTACAGAAGTCATTTCCTCGCACGTCGACATTCAACTCGGTGGTGAGGGGAAGACAATCCAAATTTACGAGACGTTTTTGACAAAACAAAAGTACAATCGGGGACGATGCACTGAGCTAATGCCAATCGTGGTGTTCGGAATTTACTGTAATGAGGATAAAATTTGCCTCTTCTTTAAGATCAATTTAAAATCTAAAGAAAGTCTCTGGCCGTAAATCAGAAAATACGTGTATCCGAAACCACAAACATTCGCTCTGATAGTGCAAAACAGTACGTCGGCATCGATCAACTATTTGACATCGCGACGCACAAAACAACTAATCACAGCATCAGTGAATACGTAGACAGAACATACGCTACAAATACAGTTAACGACCTTGAAAATCAGAACCAATTTCTGAAAAATTCTATTCAATGCCAACAAACACCAAAATTACTACACCAACACATGGCACTTTTTTTATTGTCAACACTGCTTGGAGAGGGAGTACAAATTTGATTTGGGCTCTCAAATCATGCAGTTTCTTACGGATACAATGCAGTGGACAGTGGGTGCTTGGATACCCAAGTAAGAAGTTATACTTCTATAAAATTATATGGCAGATAATATAANTGAACCCATTTCAACTGAATTTAAAGAACAAACAGATTCGCAAACTATTGGTGTAGTTATTGCTTACACGTGCAAACTGAACATTAAAACGCACTTTGCACCTACAGAAAATCACTACCACAAAATATTAACACTAAGTGGACAGTGGGTGCTTGGATACCCAAGTAAGAAGTTATACTTCTATAAAATTATATGGCAGATAATATAATTATAATTATAAATTTACCTTCTATGAGACGATATTGTATACAAACGTGGTGCAATTATCGTTGGAAAGAGTATACCTACATTAGTTGGGTGTGGTTTCAATAACTATTTTAATATTTAATAACTTTATAATAATCAACAATATACTATCGCACAATACGATATAAACAATTTGGAGGCTGGCCAGTACAATACTGTGCACTTTCATCGAATCTTCCGATGGTTTCAAAACAACTTCCTGCAGCCTACGCTGATTACATCGATAATGTCAGGTTAACATTCATCACGTACGTTCACACATTAATTCGTAGTCCATATTTAATATCCAAAATATAATTGTATTTCAATAATCAAGACAAACCATCCTGTTGTGCCACTTTCCTCGATAGCATAGTAGTACATGCCAGTGAATGTCCCTTCAGGACGTTCATCAAACATAGGTTTTTTTGACAGATATTATAGAAGCTTCAAAAGTATCCGAAAAATACTGTAAAAATACCCAAAAAAATTGCAGATTGTTTAACTGCACCGTCTTTCCCATCTTTAGTTTTAAAAATTTACAATTTAACGTGAAACTTAAGTGATTAAAAATCACTTAAAATTGTATTTATAAGATCTGTATAGAACTCCGCAATTTTTGTTTGTATGAAAGATTACTTTTAGATAAACCTGTTTGATCTTTAAATACATCTATAATTTTCATTTTTTTTTATTTTTGACAGTAAATATAATAAAAAAGAAGGGGTTCCAAACATGCGTAAAAGCATGTTTGTCAGCTTATCCATATGAGAAAAATAATTTCCAGTGCTGCTGCATATATTTGCGCTCCTCCCACCTCTCTGAATTTTTTTCTCAACCACAAAGGAAAAATAGTGAAAGAAGAAAACGCAATAAAAATCAATTATTCTACTTATACAGTACGGAAATTCTTTTTTTTTCGATTATAAGAATTCTGAGAAAATGTGAAAATATATAGAGAATAATTTACTTATTTTAAAAGTAACAAATAATGATAAATAAATGAATATTTATTAATACATATGAAATCTGCTCTGCTAATATATATACTTATTTCCAAATTTTTGAAAAAAATATGTACCATAAAAATATAATTTATTAAATAACTTATTTAATGTAAAATGAAACCAAATTGATAAATACATAATAAATGAAAGTTTACATTGAAAATAAGTTACGAACTGTAAGATACAATGAAGTAATCCGATTTCCATTGTCGGGACTGCTCATAGCAGAGTGGGTAAGAGCCTCGGCTAGTGTGCAATAGGTCGGGGGTTCAGATCTCTATGGAAATTTTTTTTTTATGTTGGTTAAAAGAAAAAATAATAGTTAGGGAGCTAGGTAGGATCCCGTGACCTTTTGACTTAGGAGGAACCCCTCAAAGTTTTTTTTACGTATTTAAAACCTGCTGAACACAATTTTCGATGGTGGGTTACTGTCGGAGAGGTCAAGTTTTTTTTATTAACGAATTTTATAAACAAATTTAAAAACCTTACGATTTCAGTATACAAAAAATTTTTTCTGATTCTTGGCCAAATTTTAACCAAAATATCAATTGGGATGTACATACCTAAACCCCACAAATTTTTTAGTAAAAAATTCCTCAAGTTTGAAAAAACGCGTTTTTTTGCGATTTCCGACCACATGTTTCTTAGCTGTGGATGTACAATTTTTAACCTACCTGGGCTCAAATTTTACCAAAAAGCATGTACTTTTTGATAAAAAAAACTTTTGAACGTTAGATGCTCAACAACTGTGATACCGCTTATCTGCGAATGATCATTTTCATTGATTACTGTATATCTATATTTAATCCGCGCATATATATATGTATATGTAGACCCAATCCACAGGCAGATAGAAGGTACAAAAACGACCAGTCGTTGATCAGTGATATCGCAGTTGTTAAGCGTCTAACATTTATAAATCTTTTTTTGTTAAAAATTACACGCTTTAAGGTAAGATTTGAGCCCAGGTAAGTTGAAAATAATGCACCCACATCTGAGAAACCAAATAATAACCTGTAATAAAGAACCAAATCCTCCGACGTACTGACACTAGAGTATAGCTAACCACTTATATGTAGAGGTAATGAAATAAAAAATGAAAAAAAAAAGATTAAATAACAAAATAAGAAAAGAAAATTTTTTAAAAATAAAAAAAATCAAAAGAAACAAACCAGGGGGTTTAAATAAGTCATGGGACCCGCGGTAAAAACGAAGTTCTTTAAAGATGAGATAAGTGCCGAAAAATAATTAAACATAAGATGTGTCGGAAAACATCGTAAAATAAAGAAACACAATTTCTCAGGTAACAAGGGGGTGGCGAGACCCATAGGAAGAACGAAGTTCTATAAGAATAAGTAGTGCATTCATGTAGTTTAGTAAAACAAAAACTTGAAAAATGAATTTAAAAAAAATCTTTTTTTGAATTAGTTCAGTACTCACGAAGTTTAACCATCGTGAGTACTGAACTAATTTTTTTTTTTTTATCTTTAATTTTTCTAAGTTTTTGTTTTACTGAACTACATGAATGCACTACTTATTCTTATAGAGCTTTATTCTTCCTATGAGTCTCGCGACCCTCTTGTTACATGAAAAATTGTGTTTCTTTATTTTATGATGTTTTTCGACACACATCTCATGTTTAATTATTTTTCGGCACTCATCTCATGTTTAAAGAACTTTGTTCTTACCATGGGTCCTATGACGCATTTTTAACCCTGGTTTG